TTGCCCTGAAGTGGATCATCCTCATTGACATACGGAATGATGACTGGGCAGATGAGAAACCTTGATTTTAAAGATAGTTGGTAGGGGAATAGGAGGGCCAGAAAACCTCTAACAATTACAGCTGCTTCAGGAAAGGGGGCAGGTCTTTTGTTGTTGTTGTTATTCATTCAGTCATGTCCAACTTTTTGTGACCCCATTTAGGGTCTTCTTGGCAGAGATATTGGAGTGGTTTGTCATTTCTTTCTCCAGCTCATTTTACAGATGAGGAAAGTGAGGCAAACAGGGTTAAGTGATGCCAGGGTCACATAGCTAGTAAGTGCTGAGGCTGGATTTGAATCCACAAAGACACGTCTATCCACTCTATCCACTAAGCCACCTAGCTGTGTTGTCCTTTACTCTTCACTCAAAATTTTCTAGCACATTGGTGGTATAGGAATCAGTATGATTGGCTGGCTGGGGAGGATGTCTGAGCCCAGGACCATGCCTAACCAGTCTGTTCAGAAACAAGTAAGGCTATCGAAGTCCACAGGGTTTCTTGCTTTGAATGTTTTATCTCATCCTAGAGGGGAACATTATCCCCATATAGGGTAATGTTTTTATGCCACTGAGTAAGAAGCCAGAAAGTACTCTACAACCAAATATGAGAGGGTGATGAGGAAATCCAGAATCAAGAGGATTAACATTTAGCCAGTTGATATGCCTGAAGCCATCAGGTCTGCTAACTACAACAGAGGTCATCAGAAAAAGGTACCCAAAAGCTTCATGTGAAATAATATGTGCTTTGCAAACATTTAAGTGCTAAGAAATTGATATCTATTTAACCATGTCTGTCTGTCTCTGTCATTATGTATCTATACATCTGTCTATCTGTCTATATTTTTATCAATCTATCATCATTACAGCTATGGTGGAGAAATACCATTTGGAACAGCAGGGATACCAAGTTCCAGCACTGCCAATGTAATTAGGTAAGAAGGAAGAATTTAAGTCAATTAAGTTCCTGCAGAATGGGGAGAAAAGTAATGAGCTGATGAAACCCGACTGGTTTAGGTTCTTTACTTCCCCCCCAACCTCTCAAAAACAAGGGAAGCCTATACACAAAAATGAATGACAAACCCATGAATTCCACTCCTGACACAAAAGGAATTCTACCAACCCTAGCATTGAGCCTTCTCTAAGCTGCTCATAATTAGTGCACTCAAAGGTACTTGGGGATCTGTTTACCCTAAATGTATGTAAACAGCTCTAACCAGATTTCTTTCTTCAATCTCAACACAAGTAAACCAAGCCTTTGACTGTCTTCACCACTCTGACTCATTCTAGAGTCTGGATGAAGACTTTGGCCTGGTTTGTGATTACTTATTCAGAGTCAATTCCCAGAACCAGACTAAGCTTGGGACCCGAGGGGAATAAAGAGACAGATACATAGATCTTCTTGTATCATTTTGGAGCAAATGAATATTCCATCACTGATTTGTGTGCTAATCAATAAGCCCTGTAGTCAACTTAGAGGTGATTATGGATGTGTCTCTGTTCCTTGAGATTTAAAGGCAGACTATTTCAAGGTCCAAAAGAAAAGTCTAGAGTTACAAAACAGAGTATAGCAAAAACCAGGCAAATGTGGCAGGGCAAAGGGCAATCCATCAGAAACAAAAAAGGCAGGTGCCTATGAATGCAAGGAGCTTTGGGAAGGCTTCCACTGACCTCTAAAATTTCCACTAGATAGGACTCAGACTCAGGACGACCTAAGATTGAATCTTGCTCCTGGTAGTTTTGGAAGACCTCATTCTCTATGGCACTGAAAAGCGCCATGTGACCCTGGGCAAATAAGTTCTCTCTCTGCCTCAGTCTCCTCATCCATAAAGTGGGCATAATAACAGCTCCTACCTCACAGGGCTGTTGAAAGGATCAAAAGAGTGAACATATGTAAAGTGCTTTGCAAATTGAAGTGCTATATAAACGATAGGTATCATCATTATCATCATCGTTGTTGTTATAATTATAATCTAGCAATTAAACTTGGACAGACTTCAAGAGGAGGATACAAGGGCCTGGTGTGCTATGGTCCGTGAGATCACAAAGAGTCAGACATGACTGAATGACTGAACAAAAACAAGCAATATCCAAAAGGAATATGACCCCACCAGACTAGCTTAACTCAGAAACTACCTTTATCCTAATGCCCATTTATTCTCTCTTGGGAATCAACTTGTGTTTTTAGTAACCACTTTGTATATCTGGCTTTAATATGTTGCATCTCAAATTCTTTTTAATTAGGTTCAAAATAAATGCTAGCTCGTCAACATAATTTCATCAACACAACTTTTGCCCTCAACAAATAAACATATATACATAAATGTGTAGTTGTGTGTATATCTATGTGCACATATATGCATATAGATATACACACATATATAATATGTACATGTATACATACGCACACATATGGATATGGATATAGATACACACACATAAGATTCTTCTTCAAAGGATTGAGGATGACAACGACATGGGAATTCCCTACGTTAGCCCAGCTCAGAGCCAACCCATGCCTCCTCATCCTCTGCGATTCTTATCTACATCCTTCCACACATCCCCAACAGAAGATCCACCTCTGGTGATGGAGGCTTTCCTCTGGGTCAAGTTTCTTGTCATTGTTGTTGTTGTTGTTGTTGTTTGTCCTTCATTCTCGAAGAGGACCATGACATCAGGAAGATGATGTCATGAGTTGCAAGTGAATTAGACTTAAGTGAGGGAGGGCTATGCAAGGTCAACAGCCTCACTTTCTCCTCTAGAGCCATCTGGGTCCAATGGCAAGATATAGATCAAGAAGACTAGAGAGGGTGCCTGGGTCATGTTTATATTCTGCGGGTAATAATGGAACACTTGGACTGCTTGCCCGTCCTTCTTCTTTTCTCATGACCGGTATTCCTATTCCAACAATATCTTTTCAATGAAACCTCTTATACTATTTCTGAAATGTACTTGTGCCCGTCATGCATCTCTCCATTACCTTTTCAGTTGTCTACCCACAGCTTTGATTCTTCAGAAAAATCCTATTTCGAGATTTGCAACCATATAGCACCAGAAATCCAAAAAGGGAAAAAAGGGGAAGTGCGTGGGACTAAGAGTAGTGTATGAACCAGTGGAGGAGAGGTCACATTGAGTTACCCTCTTACTTGCTCCAATTTAAAGCTCAGCTCCATTTCACACAACTTTTCTCGAACACCTACTAACATATTTGGCCCTGGGGAAAAAATGTGAAGCAGACATATTTTGTCTTTGGTATTTTCTCACTTCCCATTTCAGTATCTTTTTCCCCTTGCTAAGCCACTGATTCCTCCTAGATGACTATGCTGTGCCTCATTTACCCTTTCATAATCCTCCTTGAATATGATGATAGAGAAAGAGCATGATACAGGAAAATGCACCGGACTTGATGTTGGTAGAGACCAGGGTTCAAATATACCTCAGACACTTACTAGCCACCTGACCATGTAATTTCTCTGAGACTCAACTTTCTCACCTGTAAAATGGGAATAATAATACTTATAGTATTGACTTCAAAGGCTTTTTGTAAAGACCAAATGAGTTATATCTTGGACAGATATTCATTAACTTGGAAAGTGAACTGGACCAACACTGAACAGAAGGAAAGTGATCTAGATTGTATTTGGGAAACTGCATAGTATTTTTAATGAAGTAGAGCTTCTCTCTAAAACAAAAGACCATTATTTTGTAACATCAGTTTTCTTCCAGTGATAGGTGTGAATCATGAAATACTACAGTATCCAAATAATTAAAGTTGCCACTAAAGAACAGAAGGCAATGGAGAGGCACACAACTTGATGAGAGTAGATTTAATGTGTTGCCAATGAAGAATTATGCAGAAGAAAAGGATGTCATGAAGGGGATGTCTGACCAGAAAAGGATGTTGACTAGTCACTTAATGAGAACAACAGATAATGGATGGGCAGTCTGAGTGTTCTACTGCTATTCATGAAATGCCAAGAATATAGAAAAAGAACCCCAGTATAGTGAGATGTCACCCTCATGGAGTATTTACTGGAGAACATGAATAAGAGTCACACAGAATAAGAAAGCATGGATGGATTGCAGCCTGCACCTTGGGGGAAATAGCTACTTCAGTGAGATCATAGATTAAATGTGATTTTATAGAATAATAATCCAACGAAAGTTTATGGTGTTCATTCCTTCCAGAGACATTTATATTTTAATACATTAATGATCAATATTGATCTAAAAATTGTGATTGATACTATCTTCTGCCCTAGCCGAATTTCTGCCACTCTTACTATGGATATGGAAGAAGGCCACATAGGAAGAAGTATCATTTTGCATTTTTTGTTCACCATAGCAACTCATAAAATACAGAATCATTACCTAGTGTCCAACCTAGAGGTTATAAATATTTCTCATTAGCTAAGTTGGTCCTCAACAAGTACATTCTATCACCAGTATCATACCCAAAGTTTTTGGGGTTTTTTTTCTAACATGGCAGAATACAGAAGTTTTTGCCTGTGAGACACATTCAGCAAGAACAAAAAGAAGATTACCACACACCACAATGAGGCATAGGAGTAGGGTTTTTGTGTACATTTGCAAACAAAACAAAACAAAAGCTATTAAAATTGAAAGGAAAAAAATCTAGTGGTAGCATTTCAAATGTATGCAGGGGCCTATTTGGTGACAAGGATGTCCTTTGAATAAGGTGACATCTTTGTCACCAAACATGCCTCAGTCTTCAAATAAATGGCTACTTACTATACATATTTTTAAAGCCAATCATAATTATTGACAATTCTCTAAATAGCTGCCTAGTCAGAAAGTATCATTCATATATAAAACCACATGCCATTCACCAGGATACTCATGATTTTAAAAACAAATAAATAAAAGACCCTAAAACACCATCCTCTTTTCTATTATTGGCAAATGACTTAAACATTTGCTGAGAAAAAATAAGAGCAGATGCTTACTCTTCCATCACACTGGCCGTTCTTGATCCTGAGAAACATTCTTGGATTTTTCACACTTTCAAACATGCAAACCCCAGAGCTGATTTTATGCACTTTCCAGTGAGATTCTTCCGACTGATTTCCTGCACCACTGCAACTACCATCAGAATGGAGGGTCAGCGCCTGGCATAAGCTGGTGGTGAGCAGAATTACCGCACTATTGTGGAACACACCCTTTAAAGAAATTGATAGAAGGTTTAAGTATTAAGTAATAGCCTTGTTCTTCCTTTTGTTGTCTAGGATACCTATTCTCTGGCAAATATTCCTGATCTGAATGTCTTAGGAAGAGGAGAATGATATAGCAATGAGTGGTAAAATCAAAGTCAGCAGACCTAGGCTCATATCCCAGCTCTGCTACTACCTTCCTACATGTCTTTGTAGAAATCACTGAGCCTCCCTGGACTTCAGTTTTCTCTAAAATGAGGAGTAAAATGAGAAGTTTATGAAGTATTCAGAAAAACGTGGGAAGACTTATAGGAGCTGATGCAAGGTAAAGTAAGCAGAACCAGGAGAAAAAAATTCTACACAAAGACTACAACAATGGAAAGGGAAAGAATAAGAAAACAAAATTGGATCTTACATAATTAAAATGGCCAAGGTTCATTCCAGAGAAGAGTTGAGAAAATATACTTCTATCTTTTCACTGAAGAGTTGGAAGACTAGAGATGTAGAATGCTGCATATGTTGTCAGACATGGTAAGACTTTTCATTTTGCTAAACTATGTTGTTTTTTTTTTTAATCTTTAGAACAAAATCTTAATCTTTAAACAAAAAAAAAGCTCACTAGGGTAGGGGAGGATAAAGGGTTATATTTGGAAAGAAGTGTGATGTACAAAATCCATCACTAAAACTAAAAATGGAGGAAAATAAATTAGCCAATGATTATTGCAAAAATAAAACATCTTCCGGGGAACAAATGGAGGCGCTAGACTAGATCTCTAAAGTTTCACTCAGATCTAAATCTACAATTTCATTATTTGACCAGCAGGCAATTGTGGATACATGAAAAAAAAAGATTTGTTCTGGAACCACAAACCATACGTGCCCAATCAGAGCAATAGTGGCCCTTTTTACTCAATCATGTCTAATAAATTTTCTCACCAGTCAAGAACTTCACAGGATCCCTTTTTCCAACATTTACACCTACCCAAATGGAAAAACATAGATATGCAACAGCCACATGACGATGTCATTGCACCAGAGGATGGAATCTTCTAGCATTTGCACTTTAGGAAAATGAGCTTGAGCTCTCAGTTCACAAATCAATTGTCTTTAACCAAGTATATTGTTCTCTTCATTGAGGAATTATAGCAGGCTTCCAGTTCCAAGATGGCAGAGTGAGGAAGGAAATCCCTGGAGCTCTCCCAAATTCCCCTGCAAGCAACTTGAAAACTGCCTCAAAAACTCATTTAGAAGCAGGGAAGTAGGTTATCAGCATAGCAAGAAAAATCTGTCTCACGGGGTGGGAGGAGAGCAAGGCTGGAGAGCAGCAGGGCAGTCTGCACAATAGGGAGGTCTGCATAAAGGCTCTGAACCCCAGGGTAATATACCATCGAGGCCCAACCCCCAGTACAGCTTACCAGCAAGGCTTCATTCCCATTGCTGACCAATAGAGAGGCCCTGCTCCCAGGGCCAGTCAGCAACAAGACTCCCCCCCCAGGGCTGGATAGCAGTGAGACCCTCCCCCAGAGCTAGCCAGCAGAGAGGCCCTGCCTCCATAGCAACCCAGCAGCAAGGTCCTGCCCCTGGGGCAGACCAGCAGCAAAACCCCACACCGAGTGTAGGTCAACAGGCAGGCCCCACTTCCCCCACTACAAGCCAGCAGGCAACCACCCACTCCAGTATAAGCCAGTAGCTAGGCCCTGAGGCCTAGTAAAAGCCGGTAGTAAGGCCCTGAGCCCCATCACAAGAAGCATGAGACAGTGCAGGAGCAGAGCCCAACTCTCAGATAAAAACAACAAGTCACAAAATAGGTAGAAAACATGAGCAAAAAAAAAAAAAGACTATAGAAAGTTGCTATGGTGACAAGGAGGCACAAACAGAAGAAGACAATAGTGTCAAAATGGCTACAAGTGAAGCCTCAAAGAAAAATGAAATTTGGTCTCAGGCCCAAAAAGAACTCCTGGAAGAGCTTAAAAAAAGGATTTTAAAAAACAAATTAGAGAAGTATAAGAAAAATTGGGAAAAGAAATTAGAGTAATGCAAAAGAATTTTAAAAAAAAAAGTCAACAGCTTGGTAAAATAAAAAAAAATGAAAAAAAGATAAGCAAAAATTCAACAAAGAAAATAACTTCTTAAAAAAGAGAATTAGCCAAATGGAAAAGGAGATACAAAAGCTCAATAAAGAAAATAATATCTTAAAAATTATAATTGGGCAAGTAGAAGCTAATGACTCCATAAAACATCAAGTTACAATAAAACAAAATCAAAAGAAAAAAAAAGAAGGAAATGTGAAATTTCTCACTGGAAAAATAATTCACCTGGAAAATAGATATGGGAGAGATAACTTAAAAATTATTGTACTACCTGAAAGCCAAGATTAAAAAAAAAAAAGCCTGGTTAGCATCTTTCAAAAAATTATCAAGGAAAATTGCCCTGATATCATAGAACCAAAGGGCAAAATAGAAATTGAAAGAATTCACCAACACCTGAAGGAGATCCCAAAATGAAAACTCCTAGAAACATCATACTTAACTGACAGTCAATTGGGAATCTAGAAAATTCCCACAATACAAAGCAAAGAAACTTTCTTGAGATTTTTGGTGTTTTTGAGGGAAAGAAGGCAAATTTGGTTCTAAAACAAATGTTCTACTGCCTATAACTATTTGTACTTGATTTATCCACTACTAAGCCAAAGAATCATGGAACTTTAGAACTGAATGAGACCTAGGAGATCATTCAGTTTAGTCCCCTCATTCTACACATGAAGAAACTAGGTTCAGAGTGGTTAAATGATTTATAGGAATTTCAGTCAGTTAGTCAACTAGCAATAATCAAGCAAATATCATGTGCGAAGAACCAAGCTAAGTGCTGGAGGCATTGTGCTAAGCACTGAAATTTTATAGGTCATTCAGTGAAACCTCATTTTACAAATGAAGAAACTGAGGCTGAAAGACATGAAGTGACTTGCCCAAGGTCACAGGGGTAATATATGACAGATTCAGGATTCAAATCCATATCCTGTGTCCCACAGTTCCAGGCATTTACCACTGAACCATGTTCCTGAAAGTAGTTAGTTCTGAAACTAGTTAGTGCTAGAATTAGAACCCAAGTTTCCTGAATCTAAATCCAAGGCCTTTCTACTACACCACATGCACATCACTAAAAGAACACTCTAATGCATTGCAATCATATTTCATAGCCATATATTTAAACACTTGTCAATTTTCAGGGTAGTTTCATCTTGACAAATGTATAGGTCTTGAATGTTTTTATGACGTTTTTATGCTTAAGTTCAAAAAGACTTAAAAAGGGAAAAGCATGAACCTTAAATTTGTTATTCACCAAGCTTATACAACATGAAAAACTTTTTTTAAATTATGATTCAGTTAAAAACATGGAACCTACAAATATGATAAACTTTCAAATTCACACATACATTGGATAGCACAGATCTCTAAAGCTTAGAAGTTCATGCAAACTATTAAGGCAGGAGACATGAGCGCCACCTAGTGGAAAACTTTCTGACTTCTACAAAATGATTTTAATTACTGAAGGTTTTTTTAAAATTGAGGAAGGTAAACCCATTGCTATCATTTCTTTATATCACTTTCCTCCATCTTACCTTAGCATATATCACAAATTCTTTCGAGAGCCCTGCATAGCTGTCTGTTGATTCATCAGCTACTTTGCCTTGGCAATTGAAAGCAACTGTGTGACCAGGGACCATGACTGATTCCAGAATGACGCAGCGATTGGGCAAATAGAGCACTCTGAGCTCACACGGAGCTCCACCATTGGCCTAGAATAGAAAACTTTGGATTAGGAAAGTGAAATAAATGAAAGAACTAAAATCTGTGTGGTGATCTGTAGCACACAGCCTGAATCTAAGCCCATAAAGGGTTTGATTTTTTTTTCTTAGACTTTTATTGTCCCATAGTAATATAAAGTCATTGTTGTTGTCCATGATATGGCATCATCTTCAACCATATCATTCTTCAGAACACCTGAGATCCATGAGTGCAAGGAGGTGGCATATTATATAATATATAATAATATTATATATGATATGTTATGATATACAATATAATACAATATATATATCTCAACTATACAATGTGGCATATCATAAGCTACTTCTAAAATTTGACTGAATAATATAAAGTTCCTTAAAAGGAATTCTCCTTATTGTGCTGAATTAAATATACACTTTATAAAATAAAATAAAGCACTTAAAGTGATTTTAAAGGGTCACAGCCAATATTCTTCCTTTAGGCAGGTATAGCTACATATGAAACTTACATTGCTAGGTATTCTATAATGGCTAGATAATTCAGTAATATTCTGTAAAGCTTTATACAGTAGAAAGAACATTGGCGCTGAAATCAAAAGACCTGAGTTCAAATCTTGTCCCTCATACTTCCTGTGTAACTGTAGAAGTCATTTAAACTTCCTGGGCCTTAGTTTCCTAATCCGTAAAATGAAGAGTGTGGAACTAAATGACTTCTGAGGTTCTTTCCACATCTATATCCATTTTAATATTAATTTATTTCAATTAATTGTCCTTAAATCACATTAGTTAAATAAATTCCTCATTTTCCATTGAAAACCTTTTGCCTTGGCTAGAAAGAAACAACAATTACAAAGGTGAGAAATACACAGATAATAACAAATTAAATCAGAAAGTTTTATAAAACTATTTAATGAAAATAATTATTTCCGCTTTGTTTTTAAAAGATGAGAAGTATTAGCATCCTGTGGCAATAAAAAATAGCAACATACCATTCCAGTCGCCATTCCAGAGACATTATCAAGGCCAAGAGAAAGATTTCTTGTTTGATGACTTTGGAAAATGCATATGTTTCCTCTTTTGACAATAACATCCAAAAGACCTTTAAAAAATATTTTAGATGTTGATTTTTTTTCTTTCTTTATTTTTTTTAGCCTGAATTTAAGGAATACCAGGGGAAAAAATATCTCCATATATCAAGGAGAATAGAGAAGACATTTTTACATGTGAAAACCTAAATCTGTATTATTTATAGCTTGCTTTTAAAAAATAAAAAGAATATTATAAAGAAGCATTATTTTCATTTTAAATACATTTTATTGATCTCTTCTGTCTTTACATAGTAAAAATTTCCCCTGTTACTCTTGCTCCCAAAGCCATTCCACATAACCAAAGAAATTTGTTTAAATGAAAAAAAGAGAAAAAAATCAGCAAATCCAATCAATATATCAAACAAGTCTGAAAATATATGTAGTGCTCCATACCCATATAGGTCCCCACCTCTGCAAAGTAGCAAGGTAGGACTGTCTTCTCACATCTCTTCTTTGGACTCATTCTTGTTCTTTAGAATTTTGCAACATTCACTTTTTATATTTTGTGTTGGCCTTTCCATCTACATTGCTATAGTCACTGTGTATATCAACACATTATTTTCAAAACTATCCTGGCTATCTGTTTTCTTCTGAACTTCCTTCAGTTCTCTTCTATGTATTTAAAAAATGTTTCAATGACAATATTTTCTGTTCTTTTCCTTTCCTTTTGGCAATCTTATCACTAACTGCCTCAGTTCCACCAAATTCCTCCTCTAAATTAAAGAAAAACACAATCCTTGTAACATAAAGGCATGCAAAAAAATCATATATTTGTTATATCTAATAAACAGTTCGCTTTTATGAAAACCGTTTTCTTTCAAAAATATGTACTGCAAGTTTGTTTTTTTTTTATTTTTGTTTGGTTGGGTTTTTTTTTGTTCACACTGTAAATTGCTGCTGAATTCTCAGATTAAACATTCTTCACTGACTGAAGGTCTGGATTACAAATTATATAGACTATCCATGGAAAATTTTTAATTCAAAAGTTACTTTCCTCTGTAATTCAGTATGTTCCTGAGCCACTTCTCTGACAATATAAGGGCATGCAAATGAATTCTAATAAGAGTAAAGTATAAAAAAAAAAACCCAACACATGCTATATTCCAAACACAAATTGAAATAACTTGGGGATTAACAACTGGTTTCAATTTTACACACCAATGCTCCCTTCCAACTAGATTTGGCCATTATTCAGAACCGACAAATTGCTACAAGATTAATTTTTCTTAGCAAAAAAGAGCAATAACTACCATCTTTTTTTTTTAATAAAAGCAATTCAAAGATTGAAGAGTAGATTTAGGAAATGCAATTTTTTGACCTACCAGCCCTCCAACTATAAAAGTCTTCCAAAATTCTACACATGACTTCAACAGTAAGGGTCTTCAGAAATAAATTATTTCTTTCCCTCAACTACCAACACAGTCTATCACAGATACTTTTCATAATAGGTTGCCAGGACCTGCTTATATAAAGTGAACCGGAGAGTTGTTGTAATTACATAAAAATTTAAGCCCCACCCAAACATTCATTTTTATTTAAAATAAAACATATAATTGCCTAAGGTCTTCACTACACACACACACACACACACACACACACACACACACACACACACACACACACACATATATATGATATATATATGAAAATATGCAAAGTCAAAGGTAAACAAATGTGGGATTACTTGTCCAGAATATACACAACCTCATTACTTAAATATCAGGTCTTATACAAAAAATTTTAAATGGTAGTCCAAAACTGGTGAGAATTTCAGATTGTATATAAATGAACTTATATTAAATGAGCCCTTCTTTGCAAAGGTGAAAGACTTGTACATAAACTAAACACCACTTTTCACTGCAAGGGTGCTGCTTAATTAAACTCTATTTTATTTTTATCTTTCTAATAAAATGGTTCTTAATGGCTGAGAATTAAAGATCTTCATAAAATGAAACCACATTGATGATACTCCTGGGGGGACAGAGTAGAATGAGTAAAGATCTAAGAAGCAGGGATTTTGATTTCTCATTCTGATCCTGATATGAACTCTGTTGACCTTGGGCAAATCATTTAGTGTCACTTTCCCCATGCCCTCATCTGTGAAATCAGGGCAAGAATTCTCAGAAGACTGTTGTTATGAATGATTTGCTAATTGTGTGGACTAATGAATTAATGATGGAAGATGTATTTGGAAAACAGAGAAGGTTACTAAAAACGTGCTAAGAATAATTATCATTTCTTCTATTGCATTCTATTTTGATCTAACGAATTCATGTAAACATAAAAAACAAAGATGTCCTTAAATATCATGATATGAATCAGTAAAAGTATAAAAACACAATTGTATCAGTTTTCAGATAAAGTTACTCCAGATATTTTCACTGGCTGAGCCCCATTTCTGCCCATGCTCAGAATGCTCTCCCTCCTCATCTCTTGGTTTCCCTGGATTCTTTCATGTCCCAGCTAAAATCATACATTCTACAAGAAGCCTTTCCCGATCCTCCTTAATTATAGTGCCTTCTCCCTGTTGATTATTTCCAGTCTATCCAGTATGTAGCTTGCATGTACGTAGCTCTTTGCATTTTGTCTCTCCTATTAGACTATGAAATCCTTGAGAATAGGAATTGCCATCTGCCTTCCTGTTTGTCCCCAGTGCTTAGCAAAGTGCCTGGCACATAATAGGAGCTTAATAAGTGTTTATTGATTAACTTACTTCATTTAAAAGTCAATAAATGATCCACATCATTCTTGATTTAAGGTTGTCAAAAATATCAAAATCTGAGCCAAATTTCTTTCATTACAACTACTTGTAGATGTAAAGAAAATATGTTGGGAGAGTCATAACACACCAAGGAATATCCTTCAGTCTTCTTTCTGACTTGTGATGTGAAGTAATATGATACATCTAAAACCAACATCTAATTATTTAGTCAATGTGAAGAGACTCTAATCATGTTACTTACCAGAAACTCTAATCATGATTCTTCCTACTAACTCTAATCATGTTCTTTACTACAAACTCTATCTATTCATGCTACTTGCTAGAAATTGCAATCATGATACTTACTACAAACTCTACTCATGTAACTTTCTGCAAACTTTAATCATTACTTATCATAAACTCTAATCATGGTACTTCTTGAGTCTCAGAGGAAATATTCTGCAGCCAATGTGTAACCCCTCCCCACCCTGCCCCAAGCATTTTTTCATTGCCTTTTGGATCACTCTACAACACTGGAGATTGTGGCATCACAACATTTACAAACATATAGCTTTGTTGAAAGAAAACTGATGCTAAAGATACGGTTTGTTTTTTTTCCCCCCTCAGGAGCAAGTCAGAATCATTAAACACACTGCTCAATTACTCAAATTCAATATAATCAACTCTCTTACTCATATTCAATTCTGGAACTAACTCAGTGTCTAACTGCACTGTCTGTCTAAAATCTATATGTTGAAATAATACTTAAATGGACTAGCCAATCAACTAAATGTCTTGACAATTGGCTTTTTTCAAAAACTGAGTTTTTTTATGGGCTGTTCAGAATGCTGAAGAATCATGAACTATATGATTCTGAGGGTCTTCTTCACCTACAAATCTAGGATCCTATGAACTTCATTTGCCAATGTGTTATGTAAGGAAGTTGAAGTAAAACTTAAGACAAAATCAGGAAAAACAGCTGAAACAGACCAAGTACATGCCAAAGAAATATTTTCAATCTTTTAAAGTAATCATGGACCTCATTGAGAAAGTCCTGTAAGGTCCTGGGCCTTGATGTAATCAGCTCAAAATTGTTTACAAACAGTCACATCCTCACTATCTTTAGGGAGTCCTTTTTTTGTGGACCACACGTACAGGTCTTCCATGACAGTAGAAAGGAACAAACACCTCTGAAGAGCATACATTTCGCTATTAGATGCTTGACCTTAATAAGATGAATGTTGACCAAAGAGTTGGTTTTTCTGTAGTTGTACTTATTACTGCTTTCCATATGATCTTCCCATAGGCATGAAAGACTCCTGTAGAGGCAGCCTAGGGTAAAAACACTAGCTCTAAGATGCAAAAAACCTAGATTCGTATCCTGCCTCACTGTCTGTGTTACATTAGACAAATCACTTAACCTACCTGTGGATCAGTTTCCTCATCTGTAAAATGAGGTATGGGGAAGAGGAGTGGAAAGAGGAAAGGGATAATAGGGGGCTATGAACAAGATGGCCTATGGCGTCCCTTCCAACTCTCAAACTATGATCCTATGAACCTTCTTGGAGGACAGCCCTTACTTAATGGAAGAGGTATGTTAATAAGTGTTTAATAACTGGCTCTCTCTCTCTCTCCCCATTCTCTCTTTATCTCTCACAAACACATACAGATATAATATATATTATTATCAGTAATATCATGTCAGTATTTTAAATATATATTACATAAAACATATTATATATATTATATTTAAATATATTTTATATATTATATTTATATACTCTTTGTAGAGAGATATAGATATGTATTGGAACAGCAGATAGAGTACTGGGCTTAGAATCAAGAAGATTCATCTTCATGAGTTCAATTCCAGCTTCAGACACTTAACAGCTATGTGACCTCGGGCAAGTCACTTTGCCCCATTTGCCTCAGTTCCTCATCTGTGAAATGGGCTGGAGAAGGAAATCACAAACTACTCTAGTCTCTTTGCCAAGAAAATTCCCAGGTGGAGCCATGAAAAATCGAATCAACAACAACAACATACACATGTACTTCATGCACGACACATTTTAAGTTTAATCTGCATTATCAACATTTCCTTCATCACATTTTAAAATCTAGAAGTCAACAAAGCAAATTAAGCCCTGATTTGTAGCATTTGCTGATTTCCAAGGTATAAATGCTTACATTGAAAATTGACAATTGACTCAAGATGGAACAAGCTATCTCCAGCACATCATTACTTAAGACTATATTTTGTGCTGTTGAATCAAATATTTTTGGTGTAATTAAAAAAAAACAATATTTATT